TGCTATCGGTAGAACTTGATGTTGATGTGTCTTCTGTTGTAGTGTCAGTTGTTGATTCTGTAGTAGTAGTGGATGTTGTATCAGTTTTGCAGATGAATACGTATGGAGCCCATGAAGATTGGCATATCCATTCTTTAATACTGTTAGCATTGGTTTCTTCAACGCTATCCCATTCGTTTACATGGTTTTTGTGAGCACCAACACTAAGAATTAGTGTCATAAACACTACTGTAACTACCACTTTTGATAACAAAATCATGTTTTTTCGTTGTAATGGATAGGCAAATACGTTTGTGTTCGTACGTTTTATGTGATATGATAATACACTTAGTAAAAAATAAACAGTTGTCGTCGTTGTCGTATATTTCTCTCACTTTTTTCTTTGCTTTCTCTCCTAATCGGTGCAGTAGTGCGCGTCCGCTATTGGTTTTTTCTTCATCGTTGCTTCTTTTCTCTCTTTCTATTAAACACAATTAAAATATTTTTTTCTTCTTCTACTCATCATTAGGCATCCAATGGGGCTCTAGAGACGATCATGACTACGCCTTAAGATATTTTTTGTATTCGTTTTTTTTCTTATATTGACACATGAAAGAAAAAAAAATGGTCCTTTTCGTACAATTATGTCTTTTAGCACTTGTTCTTCCCTTTTTTTTTTCGTTATATAGTCACGCTTGAATGCTCCGAGTATACATACACATTCATCTATTCATCTATAAATATATACATAATTACTTTTGTATTATTGTGAGACTTTTTGATGAGTAAACATAATACAAAAAGACCTATTAATATAAGATAAAAATATGAAAGCCGAAAAAAATCGTGTTTATTTAAACGGATTTTTAATCGTATAAGTGAGAACAAGAAAAAAAACCACATAGAATAACAAATAAATCACCGGGGTGTCTTTAAATATATTAATTGAACATTAATTTTCATATAATAAATCATAATGACCAGGTCGATAAAGCATTGTAATCATTGGTTTAAATATTTCTTTCATTTCTTCATCTGTAGCTGCAAAATCATGTATAGTTAATGATGATTGTTGACTTCGATCCATATAAATAACACGTAATGGTACAACAGCTGCTTTAGTTAATGCTATTATATGAATATTATCGGATTCGCGTGCCATTGGTTCAACTTCCTTTATAAATAAAAAACATGTGTTTTTGATAAATATAAAAATAATAATAAGAAAAAAAAAAAAAAACAAATCATACAGTACTACAAAATTGTTTAACACTTTTTCCATCTTCAATAAAATTTTCAAAAAATTCACGATTCATTTGAAGATAACCTGATGTAAATAATCTATTATATATTAAAAAAAGAAAAAAACAACATTTCTCTATATTCGAATTTGCAAAAATATGGAAATAATAATTTACCGTAAATAAGCAACAAAATAATCCGAATATGATTGTGAACAAAAATTTTCTATTAAACTTTGTTCATTTCCTTCTTTATATATATTATCAATAATTTCAATAACAACATCTCGTACATCTTCAAGTGTAAAATCTAAATAACCTAATTTAACAAGTTGATCTTTTAGATCATATGTTAATTGACGAAATCGTTCGAGTTCTTTTTTATTATTTAAATTTTTTTCAAGATAACCAAATGCAAATGCACGATAAAAACAATTTCCATCGCCACGTGTACGTCGAATATATTTATATGTTTTCATTAATTCCTTTTTTTTTGTTTGAAATATAAGAAACAATAATATTTTATTTTATTTTATTTTATTTTTACTAATCTTACTTACTGCTACTTTATCTTGATAAATTTTATCATCTGATGCATATTCTTTTTGTAAATAAGTTGTTGGAATTTTACCACTTACTAATGGTTGACTTTCAGCTATCTTAAAAAAGGATGAAAAGTTTTAATAGAAAAAAAATAATGATCAGTTTACACACTTCTTTCTCTATTTCATTTTGTAATTGTTGAGTTTGTTGATCCATATCCATATCTAAAATAGATAGTTTTAGTTTTAGAAAATTTGACTTACTTATCAATTAACTAACCATGTGATGTATTATGGAAATTACTGGCATCTATATTATCACTAGCTGAAACACCGGTTTTCTCATTTTCAGTTGCCATAGATAATGGTTTGAATTTAGAAGTAAGTCTAATGAATTAGTTCTGGAATGAGAAAACAAAAAAAAAGGAAGAAATGATACGAGTTCATGTATTTGTCTATTGTAACCAATAGAAATAAATTCGATATTAGATGTCGCTGCATGAAAATGCAGATATGTTTTTTTTTTAATAATGAATACATGGAGCACTGATGATTTTTAAAAAAATCTACTTTACTTATTACTTTGCTACTAAATAAATTAAATTGAAAAAACTCTATGATGAAAAAGAATACGTCAGTATCCGTTTAGTTTTCTTCATGAGATTGAACAGAGTCAAAGATAAAGTCTGCCAAACACAAAAAAAGACAGCATTGACAAATGTAAGAAATTTTTCTCTTTATTAGGAACAACTAACGTTGCATGACACAAGGCTCTGACAGGGATAGGATGATACAAAGAAATTGTCCTATAGTACGAGCATGTTTGTCGCATCCAATCTTATTTCCAAGATTTCATAAAATACAAATCGCCTAGTTTAAAGATTTTTCCAAAGCTTGTACTAACTTTCATGACTTGCTTATTGTATCATTCCAATTGTTCACTATATTTTTCTCCCTCACATCAGTTAATTTTTATGCTTTAAATTTCATATTATTTGCAGAAATTGTACTTATTTCTTCAAAAACAAGGATGAGTGTGTTGATGCAGTCAGAGCTTCGAATGGTTCATCTCAAGCCCAGTCCAACTTAACCCATGGGCACGCATGAGTTACAATTTTTGGCTCATAGATTGATGATAGTCTGCTGATCGAATTTTGAATAAAAGTGAAAATTTTAAAGATACGTCATGAATTACCACTATAGCTTTTTTTTTTGGAAATCTTTTTTAATTCTTTTAGTAGCTCAAATATATCTGCAATGAAGAACAAGTAAGTATATCCCTTTACCCATTCTTGGTGACTGTATTGACCATTTGTAGAACGATTGCAGACGATAAAGAAAAAGTGAAACTATAAAATTTTGGAAACATGTTTTTAAGTGAACTTGATAAACTATAAATTGATAGGGAAAGATTTTCTCTTGTGTTACTCTCTCTTCGAAAAAAGATGAGTTACAGAATCGATAAGTTTGAAAAAACCCCAAAAGTTGGATTTTTTTAAATAAAATGTTTTTCTACGAACAAACAGTATATATGATGGAAATGTATTGTGTGATATATAACGACAACAATACCTACTACTGGAATCAGTACTATCTGGAAGTTTCACAAATGGATTAGGCAGAAAAGAGATAGTAAAACACAGAATGATCACTAGAAATTTTTCAGAAAGCCAAACCTTTAGTTTTTCACCGCCTACAACTTGGACACAAAATTTGCTTCTATCACACATAATTGTAGAGCGAATCATTCTTTATAAAATGAGGCATTCTCGAACTCTCTATGACCTTTTTTTCGTCGAACTACATCAGATTTACGGAAGGTGTCAAATAGAATTTCAATGGTGCTCTTGCATTTGCATCTATGGGAGCTCAAATTGACTTACCACAGGGTTTTGGGCCCTGCTGCTTTTGCATTCATGGACAAACCTATCATCGGATCGGTCCACTTTATCCTGATCCTGGCCAGAGAGCGCAATTTGGACAAATTTACATTTTGAACTTATCCTTGGCATTAAAAGAACGGATGGAAAATGCTGCTAATGAAAATTGCAAAGAAACGACGATGAGCAAACTCGGCGACATAATGAAGCGCATTAGTCCTTTTGCTACTGCCTGCAAGATGATGCATGAAGTCGAATAAGAAGAAATTGATTGAGCCAAGAAAGAGAGAAGAGCGCCACCTCCACTTCGAATGATTTTGGACATTAATCGTGGAATTCATGATCAGCAACTCTACAATCTTCCAACAGCGAATGAATTCGCTACAGTTTTTGTAGGTGAGAATAGTGAAGTTCCAACATATCAACATATTGCTATTCATCCACGTGGTCAAGATCCTCAAACTATTTCAATCTTATATCCTCATTGTGATTCAATGACTTATTCTCTTCTATTTCCTCGCGGAGATAAAGGATGGTATTCAGAATTGGAAAAAATTGATCAATCACGAAATCGAAAACGAGTGTCAATGCTTCAATTTTATAGTTATCGATTGGCTATTCGTCAAAATTTCAGTGCCATCCACTATGAAGGAAAATTATTCCAGCAATATATTGTCGATGCTTATGTCAAAACCGAACAAAATCGACCTGCATTCCATCGACAAAATCAAAAGACTCTTCGAGTAGAATTATACTAAGGTCTAATGGATCATTTAGCAAATGAAGCTGAAATTGAAGGTTTAAGACCTGGACGTGTTGTAATACTTCAATCAAGTTTTCAAGGAAGTCCTAGAGCAACACAACAGAATTATCAAGATGCAATGGCAATCGTCCGAAAATATGGAAAACTCGACTTATTCATCACATTTACCTGTAATCCAACATGGAGAGAAATCGAAGAGCAGCTTTTTTCCTGGTTAAACTTATTCCGATAGACCTGATCTAATTATCAGAGTCTTTAAACTCAAACTTAATGAACTTATTGATAATATCTTCAAGAAACATATATTAGGACGGACCATAGCCAGTATCTTCGTAATCGAATTTCAAAAGCGTGACTTACCATATTGTCACATTCTTATTATTTTGGGCGACCAAGATAAGCCAAAGGATGAAAACCACATTGACCATATCGTCTGCAGTGAAATACCAGATTCTGTTCAATTTCCACGATTATATGGATGTGTGAGAAGGCATATGATTCATGGAGCATGTGAAACATTAAACCCACATTCTTCTCGTATGGAAGATGGCAAATACTCAAAAGAATTTCCAAAAGAATTTCCAAATGATACTCTAGCAAATACGGATGGATACCCACAATATCGAAGAAGAGATAATGAAATTACTATGACTATTGGCAAGTATGAAGTTGACAATAGATGGATAGTTCCATTTAATCCATATTTACTAATGAAATACAATGCTCATATTAATGTCGAAATTTGTGCAACTGTCAAAAGTATCAAATATTTATTTAAATACATTTACAAGGGGCATGATTGTGCTAACATTAAATTACAACGATCAATTCAAAAAGGTGCTGCTGTCGCTCAAGAAACTTTGGAACTGGATGAAATTAAAGCACATCTCGATACAAGATATGTAAGCACACCTGAAGCTGCATGGAGACTTTTTGAATTTGCACTACATGACAAATCTCATGGTGTTATTCGATTAGCCGTTCATCTACCAAATCAGTAGCCGGTTTATTTTGCTAAAAAAAACGAACGAGAAGCATTGGAAAGAGCTGCTATGAAAGACACCACACTTCCTGCATGGTTCAAATTAAATTCCAAAAAACCAGATGCTCAACGATATCTTTACCATTATATTCCACAATACTTTGTTTCTGAACGTAATAGAACATGGAAGCATCGACTACGAGGCGAAAATGTCATCGGTAGAATGTACTCCGTCAGCCCCAGTGATGTAGAACGTTACCATCTTCGATTATTACTGTTATATACTCCTAGTGCCCGTAATTTTGATGATCTCAAAACAGTAGACGGCCAAGTCTATCAAACATTTATGGAAGCTGCTAAAAGACAAGGTCTGTTACATGATGATATTGAATATGAAAGATGTATGTCTGAAGCCGTTATCTTTCAGATGCTACAACAGCTAAGAACACTTTTCTGTGTGATACTTCTATACTGTAATCCAACAAAACCTGTAGACCTCTGGAATTCGTTTGAAGCACAAATGGCCGAGGACTTCATGCAACAAGCGGATGGCGAAACGGCAAAAACAATGGCATTTTATGCAATTGATGCAAAGCTGAAAGAACAAGGTCGAAGTTGCAGTGATTTTGGTATACCATCACCAACATCTGTTCCATATTCATTTGAATCAAAAACTATCAATAAAGAAGAACTTCGAATAGAACAAGAAATGTATACAATGTTGAATCAACATCAACGTTCGGTAGCAGATGCAATTCTTGCAAGTCATCGTAAACAATCAAGCACCACTGCTGGCTTATGTTTCTTTATCGATGGCCCTGGAGGTCCGGGAAAAACTTATCTCTATAACACCCTGTTAAATTAATTCATGGGACAAGGAGTCCATGTTATGACAGTTGCATGGACAGGAAATGCTGCAAGTTTATCGCCCGAAGGAAGAACTGTACATAGTCGTTTCAAGCTTCCTGTACCTATCTTAGAAACATCTACATCACGTATTCGACAAAACAGTAAGGAAGCTGAAGAGATTAGAAAGACGCAAATTTTTATTTGGAACGAAGCACCAATGGCTCCATCTTATGCTCTCAATGCAGCTGATATTTTTCTGAGAGATATAATGAACATCGATGCACATTTTGGAGGAAAAATTATGATACTCGGTGGAGATTTTCGACAAGCTCTTCTAGTCATTCGATTTGCAAACAGATCAGAATTAATTGCAGCAAGTCTCAAAAGTCCCAACCTTTGGTCTTACTTCAAAGTCATGCATCGACACCAGAACATGACAACAGGATAAGGTGAAGAAGAGTTCTCAAAGTGGCTTATTAAACTTGGTAATAGTGAATTAACATCGAACGAAGATGATGAAATCGAATTGCCTAGCTCCTGTATGTTAAACGGTAATTTGGTCGACGAGATCTTTGGAGAACACATTTCTATAGAAGATGTTCCAACTCTATGCGACAGAATAATTCTTTGTTCCAAAAATGAACATTCTCTCTTGTTCAATGAAGAAGTTCTTCAATGACTACTCGGAACAGAAAAAATGTATACAAGTGTGGATGAAGTAGAATGTAAAGATGGTGATGATGTTATCAACTATCCCACAGAATTTTTGAATAGCCTTACACCATCAGGAATGTCTCCTCATACACTTAAACTAAAGATCGGTGCAATTGTTATGCCTATTCGCAACCTCGACATTCATCAAGGTCTATGCAATGGAATTCGACTGATTGTGCGACGCGTACTAAATCACACGATTGATTGTGAAGTCGCAAGTGGATTTAACAAAGGAAACCGAGTTCTAATATCAAGAATTACTGTGACACCGTCTGATCCATTTTTGCCATTTCAACTACATAGACATCAATTTTCTATTCGACTCTCATTTGCTATGACTATTAATAAATCACAAGGACAGAGCTTCGATCGATTAGGACTACTTCTACTACAACCAGTTTTCAGCCATGGACAACTATATGTTGCTTTTTCAAGAGTTCACTCTCTAACGTTTATCAAGGTACAGATCATCAAAGAAGAAAAAACAGTAAAAGACATAAAATTAAAAATGTTGTTTTCAAAGAAATTTTGTAAATTTGTTGTTTTAGAA